TTTTTTTTTGAGACAGAGTCTCAAGCTGTTGCCCTGGGTAGAGTGCTGTGTTGGGCTTAAGCGATTCTCTTGCTTCAGCCTCCCAAGTAGGTGGGACTACAGGTGCCCGCCACAATCCAGAATCATTTTGAGAGTAAGTATGCCACATTATGCCAAATACTGTTTCCTATAAACAAGAACTTTTTCATATATGTCCATAAGAAAACCATCAGAATCAGGAAACGAAAACATTGTCACCGTCTCATTCCAGACCCCTTTGAAGTTGTGGAGGGCCGTGTTTTAATAACATCATTTGTAGTGAAATGAACTAGTCCACAATTGCACATCAACTTGGTCTCCTCCAATCTAGGGTAGTGCTTCAGTTTTTTTTGTCCATGATATATACTTTTAAGTGTATAATTAATTGATTTTTTTTTAAAGTAGAGATACAGAGTAGTGAACCATCACCATGGTCTAATATTGCAACTTCTTTAGTATCTTGCCAGAAGATGTTTCTGTTTACTTATCTGTTCCCATGCCTAGTGTGGGTTATTTCATATGAATGGGAATAGGCAATATGAGAACTTTTGTATCTGAATTCTTAGACTTAGCATAATGGGTTTGGGGGTCTTTTTTTGTTTTTTTTTTTTAAGACCGGCTAGCTTTGTTTCCCCAGCTAGAGTGCTGTGGCATTATAGCTCACAGCATCCTTAAACTCGGGCTCAGATGATTGATTATCCTGCCTCAAGACTCCCCAAATGGGCCCAGCACCTGTGGCTCAAGTGGCTAAGGTGCCAGCCACATACGCCTAAGGTGGCAGGTTTGAATCCAGCCGGACCCTGCCAAAAACAACAATGACGCTGCAACCAAAAAATAGCCAGGCCTTGTGGCGGGCGTCTATGGTCCCAGCTACTTGGGAGGTTGAGGTAGGAGACTGCCCTGCTAACTTTTCTGTTTTTAGTATGTTTTTAGCATGTTGTAGTATGCATCACTGCTTAGTTACTTTTTATTGCAAATAGTAGTCCATTATATGGATATACTTCCCTTTATCTATTCATCATTTGATGGACATTTGGATGTTTTCTGTGTTTTCCCTTTGGGCTGTTGTGAATAGTGCTACCATGTGTGGTCTTGATACTTCTGAATATTACAGCCTAGTTATTTTGTACAATGTGTCTTAATTTGGGCAGGTTTGACTTTTGGTTTAATTACATCAGTATGAACTTGAGTTTATATTCTATTGGGTTATAGCTTATTGGTTTTATACCAGACAACCCCATAATTTAGTGGGATAAAACAATTTACCAAAAAAGCTCATGAGTTCTGTGGGTCAGGAATTCAGGGAGGGAAGATGGCTTGTTTCTGCTCCACAATGCAGGAAGGGGTGCATCCTTCTCATCTGGGGAAGAGTCAGGCAGGAGTGACTTGCAGGAAGCTGGGGCTGGAGTCCTGTGAAGGCATCTTTTTCTCATGCTGGTGTCCACTGAGCAGTTCACACGTGGGGTCTGGGTGGTCCAGTCAAGCTACATTTGCTGTACCCAAGTGTTGGGGTTCCGAATGTGGTGCTCAGGGAAGGATGTGGCGTTTTTATGACTAGTCTTAGAATTCTCATGGCTCTGTTACCTCCATATTTATTGGTTGAGACAGCCTCAAAGTTCTGCCTAAGAGTCAAGAGGCAGAGTCAAGTTGGGATATAGCCCAACTTTTGGCAAGAGTGTCAGAGTCCTATTGTAAGGGCTAGTGGTTTGGGAAGTATTGCATTTTTGGGTAATTTGGGTATAAATGGTTACTTGATATATGCACAAGTTGTCCCGTATAGGCTGAGGAGCCACTTTGAACTAGTTTCTTTGGTGTTTTTTTGACAGGCCTGCCCTGTCACTTGAGCAGACTGTCTTGTTTTCCAGCACAGAATGTTCTAGGCTCGTCTTTACTCCAGCCCTAGAATCAGCCATTTTTCCAGGGAGTACTGGTTTTTTTTTAATGGGAAGTGGTATTTGAAACTAAAGATTTGGGTCTTAGCTGTGCTCACTGCTCCTGAGGTGTGTGACTGTTCCAGGCTCCCTGTGGGCAGAGCTATGGAGTATATGTGTAATGTGTGCACACCCTTCTATTGCGTTTGTCTTTGTAGTTGTCAATATGTTGAACAGTGAGATCATTTCAATGCCCTGTAGTCTGTCAAGTACTATGGGGTTTATTTTTGACCTTTCAGATTTTTTTTTTTTT